GAACATCCTGCCATGCGCTTTCCTTTCCTCGTCTCCTAAGGCCAGATCATCCCCAATCAAGTTGTAAAAAACCTTTTTCAGATAAAGATTCACTGTTTTCTGGAAGCTTCCATGCCACACGGCCACTTAAGACTTCTTGAGATACTAGACAAAGTCTAAACATTTTAGACTCTGTGGGCCATATGGTCTCTGATGCAGCTGTTCGATCCTGCTGCTGCGAAAGCAGCAGCAGACGAGAGAAACAAAGGGGCGGGACTCAATTTCGACAAAGCTTAATTTACAAAAATGGGTGGTAGACCGGATTTTTCCCTGGGCTGTAGTTTGCCAACCACTGCACTGGAGGAAGAGGCAGGAAAGCGGGTTTCTGTTTTGGTTGGGGTGACTGACCGCGATCACCAAAGGGAACTACACAGTGCTACCACACAGTGAGGCTGGAGGGAGTCTGATGAAAACCCCCGAGTCTCCAAGACGTTGAATCAACATGCCACTGGACCAGGGGTACATATTAGTGAAAGACTACAGCACTCCATACAAGTAGGCCCTCCAAGAGATAAGACCCTTCTAGAACAAAGGTCTGGTTCTCTTCCCTGGGCAAAGAGCACCAGCCAGCCTAGGTGCTTGCTGGTCCCAACACCAGATGCAGCATCTGGAACTGTGGCCTCCATCTGTATCCTTTTCTCGATCTTGGAGTGTCTGAAGATTGAATGATCTCCTTTTCCTTTTTTATTTCCCCTTTGAGAATGATCGTGATCATAACTTTTCTCTCTCTGCTTTCTTTCCCCCTAGTAATAGATAACAATGTTTATCAAGCGTGGTATAGATCAGTGTCACCTGGGGAGCTTTCCGTACCTTTAGATTCCACGTTCATTGTGTGGGCCATAAGCCACGGAGAGAAAGACAGGATGCAGACAGAACTTGAGGAGAAATGGGCATTATCTTGAGACTGAGGACTCGGAAAACAGTCCATTGCAGCGACATCCTTAGTTGTGATGGTTGAACACGATGCTGGGTGGCCTCCCACTGGGGAAGCAGCGAATACACTTACAACTGTGTGGAGGATGAGTGGACCGAATGTGATGAGGGCATCTTTGTAAAAATGGGAGGTTGCGTGTGTGCATGCATGCCAGGCAGTGGAGGAGGAGAGCGTGTGCACCCATGCTGGGCAGTGGGGGAGAAGAGCGTGTACACACATGCTGGGCAGTAGGGGAGGAGAGTGTGTGCACATATGCTGGGCAGGGGGGGAGGAGAGTGTGTGCACGCACGCCGGGAAGAGGAGGAGGAGAGTGAGTGCACACATGCTGGGCAATGAAGGAGGACAGTGTGTGCACCCATGCTGGGCAGAGGAGGATGAGAGTATGTGCACGCATGCTGGACAGTGGAGGAGGAGACTGTGTGCACACATGCTGGGCAGAGGGGGAGGAGAGCGTGTGTATGCATGCTGGGCAGTGGGGGAGGAGAGCGCGTGCACGCATGCTGGGCAGTGGGGGAGGAGAGCGCGTGCACGCATGCTGGGCAGTGGGGGAGGAGA